TGGGACATGGTTTCAACCCACTAACATCATGAAAAGAGACTGTTACGGTGGTCCTAGAGTTCTCGTCTGGGGAGCTGTTATGCTGAATGGGCAGAGGTTCTGTAACCAGTGATCACTATTGTCAGAAGGTGATCCTTCCCTGTGTGCATCTGTTCTGATGTGCCATTGGAGTAGACTTCATTTTTATGGATGACAATGCACAGCCACACCATACTCCTCCTGTTCAGAAGCTACTGGAAAGTGAGGATATCACTCAAATGGATTGCCCAGTATACTCCCCTGATTTAAATCCCATAGAACATGTGTAGAGTGATTTGCGAAGACTCCTTGCGATGAGATTACATCCTCCAGGGAACATCCGATAACTGAAACAGATGCTGATTGAGGAATGAGCACTCTTACCTCAAGATCTGTTGAACAATCTGGTGTTAAGTATGGAGAGACAGTGTGAAGCAACCACTGCAGTAAGGGGAGGGCATATCCCATACTATGGAACATCTGCTGGTTGTTCTTTCTCTTGTACAGACAATCATGTGTAACGATACAATTAATTCAATAAAGCCTTGTTTTGTTTGGTTCCATACTGTATGCATTGTATTCATTTTTGTGCTACTATGCTTTCATCATCCTTTAAATACAAAATGCTGTCTCTCATTTCTGAATTTCATGTCTCTCAGATGATTTTTCATGAGTTATGGCAAAAAAAAAACACCTGTTGCTTAAGTTTTGCACACCAGAGTATTTTTCTACCAATATAACTTAATTTCTGGCAACTGCACTAGACCCATAATAATGTGTATGCCAATAAACTTTATTTCTCCTATGGTAAGAGGCATCCAGGATTGTTGGTGTTTTCTGGTTGTGGATAAAGAATTATTTTTAACACCAACGTTGGATTGTTCAGCATATCTATTTGTTTCATTCACTATTAATTCTAGAACACTGTCTGACAAAAAATAACTGGTACAACAAAAAAGGATCATAACAATTAACATTTTCATGCAAAAATTTCTCATCTTCCATATACTGACATATCACACTGCTTCTTCCTGTGACCTGCTGCCATTCTGACTCCTCATCACTTTCTTCCGAATCAGCTTCTAAAAACTCTGGTGTCCTAGTATAATTATCAGATGTCCTAAATGAGTGACTTTCCTCCAGATCATAAGTGTCATTGTTACTCTCTTCTGAAGAAGATGAAAGTATCATCTGCCTAGATCTACATCTGTGGAGCACAATTGTAGACGACTCATCTAATGAGTTATCTATTATCATAAAATCCATTTCCTCCATTTTCTAGGGGCTGAAAATCCTAATATATTACAAATTTTACCGGCCATGTCTTATAATTCTGCTTACCAGAAGAAATCAAATTTTATTTTTTTTAATTTCAAATTTCTGCATACAAAATAAAAAACAAAGTTACATGCCAACAGCAGTTCACTATCTATTAGTAATCCATAAAGACTTATTCATCAACACTCAACTTTATATCTACAGAAACAACTAAGTGCATGTGCTTGTCAAACTTAGAATAAATTGTAAAGAGCACTGCATGTACTAAACTCATAGTAAAAGGAAACTGCTGTTTTGTGTCTGAAGTTTTGCTACACAGCATTGTGTGCAAGGCGCCGTCAGGTTAAGATATAGTACGATTTTTACTGCCATCCAGTGGCTCAATATAGCAAAATCTGCACCGTCCTAAACGTGTTAATTTGGGTCAATCATAGCAGCATATTTCATGAAGTGAATGTTCAAAGTAGATGATCACTGTCAAAACCTAAACAGGCTAGCTGCATTACATTTCAAATCTTTTTTCCACATGTAACACACTTATAAGTGACTGAATAGATTCTATCAAGGCATTTCTTTCCATACATGAACACATCTGATGGGCTTTGGCATAAATAAGTAACCCAATTCAAACCTGATCAAAACTACTTTCATAAAAACCCATCACAAAATTTTAAAATTCAAACTCCATAAATATAAGACTTTGTTACAAAAGTAACCCTCGAGGCAAGGACTTCACTTAATTTGACTAAGTAATGTCACCATTCTCATATGCATTTTTTATGTTCTGTTCTAAGCTCAAGCAGTTTTTATATAGAAAAATCGCAATATTTTTTGCTTTAAACTCAATTTTATAATTTGCACTTGTGAAATTTTCCAGCAATAGAAGAAACTGTTGAAAAATTTCTGCAGGTAGTTTGCTGAAAGATCATCTACAACTCTCACCTTCACCCCAGCCACACATACCTCAAAGATGACATTCCATGATACATACTGTATAGAAAAGTAATTATTTTTTATTTATTTATAATGTATATTCTAAACTTTATTTTTATTTATTATGCATTCTTTTTACTTTTATTTATAATATACTGTATTTCAAATGTAACATATATTATTTATTTGTTTTAGTTTTTAATTGTTTATTTGACGGTATTTACAGCTCTTATCTTATAGACATCATTAGAAGATAAGCATAGTGATCTTAGTAACACTTTTATGAACAAATTCCTAATACAAGTAGTCATTCAGAATGTAACTCATTCATACCGTTTTTGGATATGTTTTTCATAAAGTTTTACTCATCACGCTGCTCAGACGGGAAAGTAGCTAGTGACTCTGACTACTGTATTGAAAGGCCCAGGTTCGAATTCCGGAGAAGGCATGGATGTAATTTGTCCATCTCTTCACAGAAGGCAATGATAAGGTGCCTCTATAACGGGCTATTGCTTCCGGCCTTAATAGTGGCCAAGGCCTGTAACAGCTAGAGCCTGCCATTGGAAATTTTTAAAAAAAGTTTTACCTATCATTAGTTTTGCCACCTTCTTTTTAGATTTTGCAAAAACATTACATTTACGTCCAATGCTAAGTTGTGCCCCAGTAACAGAAAAGTAGCAACATTCCTTTGTTGTTCGCCCCATTTTTCACTATACTCGGGGAATTCCAAATTAAAAATTTTCTGCCCGGGTTGCAATAATTAACCACAGCATTCAAATGTCACAAATAGATGGTGCAGGTATTACGTCAATATAGCAAACAATCAGTTATAAGACGCAGGGCCACTTCAATATACTTGCCAGTTACACATTTATCCTGGGAGCCCATGAGCATTGGGGGCCCATGCTACATTTACATTTCATTTCTACAAGTAGTTGTTGTAAGAGTCCCTAGTATATTAGCTTGCCCAGAGGCTCAAAATATTGTTAAGACGGCACTGATAAGATGGCTGTGCTGATGGAAATGTGGTTAAAGTGCAAAATATGAGTTTCTTATGTCTACAGCAAAACTCACCCATAAAAATTCATCATCAACTTCTTGAAGGGTTATGTCTTACTATCATGTCACATAAACAAATTTAGGTTTTGTGCAAGAGCTCCAAAAAAAGATGAGACAGATGTTCAAGATGAAAAACTATCTAGTCGCCTAGCACATTTACTACAGATGACAACTTTGCCTTGCTGCAACTCTGATTCAGGACAATTGTCACATCCAACTTAGCAGTACAGCTACGTAATTCAATATGTCAGCGGTCAATATACACAATTACTGTTCATGCCGGAAGACATTTTCATGGTGGATACTTGAGCAACTCACAAACAATCACAAAACCATGATGAGATTCTCTCTCAAATACCCAGGACTTAAATTCAGTCGAGCACAAATCCAATACTTCTCAACTAAATTGCAATTCCAGTCACAGTCCCAAATAAGTTGGGAATGAGTATTTTAATTTATTGTTTAATTATTTTTCATTAATTGAACTTACCTTATTAATTTTTATTTGTCTCTTTACATTTTAATTTGTAATCCTTAATTTTCACAATGCTCTGACCCTTCTAAACCTTAAAAATTAAGCCCTGCATGTGCTTGTACTGTTTAAAAAGGAATATGTTTCATTCCTGGTATAAAGGATTAGATATGGGTGCATCATGTGACAAAAATACAAAGCAAGCATCCATGTCATGGAAATATCTAGTATCACTCCCACCCAAGAAATCCAGAACAGCTCCCTCTATAAAGAAAGTTATAATAATGGTCTTCTGATGCCACAAGGGTGTGCTGTTGACTGGTTTCCCAACAGATAAGTGACAATGAATGTCGCTAGTTTTTTAAATACAGTGGAGCAGCTGTGTGAGGAATTTTGCAGAAAACATTAAAGACATCTCTAAAAAAACTTCTGAAGTACTGCTGCATGAGAATGCCTGACCACACACAGCCATTGTCACACATTACTTGTTAGGACACTTCTACTAGGAAGTACAGAATCATCCTTCCTGCAGCGTGGACCTGGCACTTAATGATTTTTATCTCTCTAGACCTTTGAAGAAGCATTTGATAGGTAGGTGAATTACAATCAATATGAACATTCAGCAAGTTATCTTGATCTGACTTCAGGGATTTGACCAAATTTCTTCACTACTGGCACCAATTATGTGATACAGAGTTGAATAAATATTTGGACAAGCATTGTGACTACACTGAAAATTAATGTTTGACACTGCTTTACAACTGCTTATCCACATATCTGCTTGTGGAATAAGGTTTTTTTCTGGGAGAACTTGTTACTCTACTTTTTCAATGTCTTGGCATCTATAATTCTTTATTATAAAAAAAAAATAATACCATATAATTCTTCTTTATTATAAAAAAATTTAAATATCAACCCACATACTTATTTTTTCATTAATTTGATAAATGTTTCAAAATTCATAAACATGATACACATGTGACAGCATTAAATTCTGTTTAACCATATTCATTAAATTCTGCACAAAAATTATTCTTCTGAATAACAGTCATTCCATACACTTATAAAATTTTATATAAATGTAAGACAATGACTTGGTAATGAAAAATTTAGAATGTGTAAAATGATATATCAAAATAATTTACTCATTTATTTATATTTATTATGTAAACATCACTAATTATTTTTCAAATTATTCTTCCATTACTTTTTCAACAACTTATATAGAGATTACACATACCTTTCAGACTGTTCATTTCTTCTTTCATGGATTTCCGGTAATCACCACACGTCATATGCATAATTTGCCTCTTTTTTACAAATGGGGTTTTTTTGTTCTGCAAAACTTTTAAGCCTTGCGTAGCTGATTTAGCTAGTAATAATTTTGAAAAGAATATTTAATGATATATATTTTAATGAACGCAATTAAAAAAATTAACAAACATGTAAGTCATTAAATAAATACATACAGATATATATGTAAAATCTAGCTTTCAAATAATAAATTAATAGCTCTTTAAAATACTGTCTGCATTCTAAAAATCATAGAGCAATAAATTTTCTAAACAAAAAATATCCGCCATTTAATTTGTATTGCGCACTAATCAATGAAGTCTGAACCCACCTCTACATTAACCTTCTCAGCGTTACGGCCGGAAAATTCCGTGCAGAAGGTTGCCTTCCACATTCATTATACATGAAAATTTCCGCTAGCTTTTAATGTATCTGATTTCAGTTTGGATGTATATTGGAAGAAAAGAAATCAAAATACAAAATGAAAGAGTCATTTTTTAATTAAAATCAAGAAAATATCACTTATTCATGACATTTTAAAGAACTTTGAATTTTCAGGGCTAAACCCGTAACGCTCAGAGGTTTAAACTGCCATATGATCTGAAATGGAATTCTTATATATAAAAACATATATAAAGGTCAACTGCATTGCAACTCTTTCTCTCTCTTCTGTCTTCCCTTCTGCTTCCAGACTTTGTGTTGCCTTGCCACAGAGTTTACTTTTATAATTTTCTTATTTTACACAAAACCCAACAGCATTCACTAATTCAAACATTTAAATCTGTTGGGCAAAACCACTTAAAATTGAGTCACGTACTATCATGAGTGGTTAAGTGTTGCTTATAAAGGCCTCCGTTCCTTGCTTAACCCCTTCCCTGTTTTGCCCGTACGGTTTCGGGCCTTTACTGATTTGCCTTTACTCCGTACGGGCAATCAGATTTCTATTTTGCTTGCACTGTTTCAGCCATATTTTTTCCAATTTTAGTAACAAATTATTCGTATAGATGGCGATAGTTGTCCAGTAAATGATAGTTTGCAGTTTATTGTCCGATTGGTTCAAAAGCGCGGGTTTTTTCGCATGTTTTGTATCAGAAGACGAATTGTTACTTTCGTGTATGCTTTCTGGTTATATTTTACTAACCGCCTGATAATTTATTGAGTAGATTGAATAATATATTTTTACTTTAAATAATGGATAATTCAGACGTATGAGCTAATTTCTTGTTTCGAACTTGACCGGATCAGAAACTGAATATCTGTAAATTATAGTACGAAATTTACTAGAGCCTGGAAGTAGTGACTCTGATAGTAGTACAGATGGAATCAGTCAAGCAAGACAATTTTTTGAAATATTTGGATAATCCTTGGATCCCCTCCTAGATTTGCTTTCACACTGGAATTCCAAAAATTAACTTTGATATCGATGAGACTAAAGGTAAACTTCAGTTCTATGATGCTTCATAGACGATTATTTGCTTGACCTGATTGTTTTTGAAACAAATAGATTGCTGAGCAATGCATAAAAAACAGTACACTTCATAGCATTCCAGGAGCAAAAAATGGACCCACATCAAAAGATGAATTACATGTATTTTTTGCTTTGAATTTCTGCAAGTGTTGTAAAAAGCCAGTTGTTGAGCAGTATTGAGCAAGAGGCATTCAACATCCACACCATTTTTTCCAAAGTGATGTCATATCGCCCTTTCAATTAATTTACAGTTATTTGCATTTTTCAGATAATGTCAATTTTGACATAAATTCTCATGAGTGTCCAAAATTATCAAAAATATGGTTCGTGCTAAAGCACTTAAAATCTCGTTTTGAAGAAATTATCAACCCTGAACGTGATGTTACCATAGACGAGAGTCTTATGTTGTTCAAAGGAAGGCTAAGTTGGAAACAGTATATTCCTCTAACCCCTTCGTGCCGACTGTCACGTATACGTGCCTACCGGCCGACACGCAGGCGTGCCAGAGCATTTTTCCGTTTACTACCGACTGTCACGTATTTGTGCCAGTACCCTGGAACGTTTTTCAAACTATAATTTCTGCACAAGATGGCACTCTATGTCCCGATGGTTTCAGATACATGCACATAGACCTTTTACTCGAAATGAGAGACATGACTCATACACGTGTTTTTGATTATTAAAAACGGGGAACTAAATTTTCCGAATGGCGGATTATGACGTCTCTTTAAATCGCACTTTATTCGCACGTGATAGTGGTTGTAAGTATAAGATTTATATGCGCTAAAGCGTTTGAGTATTTCGGTTTACAGTTCATTTTTAAAATAATTAGATCTTGTTAACTGAATTCTTTCTGTTTTTTATCATTGCATGTCGAAGCGTCGAAATGTTACAGCATGAAATAGCAGAAATGAGCAAAATATTTCAGATATTGATTCTGAATTCTGATATTCTGATATTGATTCTGAAAATTAACTGAAAGACGTTTTCCAAACTTTGTTCAAGAGACTGAAAGAAATTAACGACGACTTCGTTTTGTCACATTCCGGAAAAATCCTCCAAAACGGCAAATGAGTTATTACGAGTGCAAGGAATTAACGTAGGACTGTGTGTAGATCCCCTGTTTTAAAATTTTTCATACGAAAGAGAATTTTAAGTAATTATTTAGTTTTCAGATGTATAATGTTAAAAGTCATAAAATGGTGAAATAAAAAAATGTGTAAATATGCTTTAAACAAGAATAAGGTAATTAAAGTCTATATATAAATATCTATAAAGCATAAGCCGTTTATATACTCTATAGCATATTAAACATGCATTTATACTTCGGAAATTTCATGATTTAGCTTAGTACAAAAAGCCCCCGCCCTGGAGAAACGCTCGCTAAGACCTGCCGGCCTCCGGATAAGCGCGCGTTTTCGCTACCGGCTCGAAGGCTAAAGCGATCTTGCTTCGGAAAAATTCTACATCTTTGGAGTTTAAGTCCGGTATTTGTCTATGATAATATACACCGGAAAAGGAACTGTGTTTGATGAAAGTTACAAACATTTGAGCAAATCTTTGCAGGTAGTTATTACACTTATGTAACCACCTTTACATAAAGGATACTGTCTGACAACTTTTATTCATCTCCTGAAATAGCAGAAATATGCTCATTAGTTACTGTACAGATATGTACGGAACATTAAAACTTCAAAGAAAGGAAGTTCCTAAAGCACTGTTGACAAAAAAACTTCAAAAAGGGCAAATGCTTGCTTACCAGAGGGGAAAAGTGTGCATTACGAAATGGATGGACAAAAAAGCCGTGTCTCTCATATCTACAATACATAATGCGGAAATGGTTCAAGTATCCACTTCGACGAATGAAATTAAACGAAAAGCTAAAGTAGTTATGGAGTATAATAAGACAATGGGTGGTGTAGATCGAATGGACCAGAACCTAAGTAATTATCCTGTAATAAAGAAACGAGGAAAGAAATACTACAAAAAAAATATTTTTCATCTTCTAGACATCTGTTTATGGAACGCTTATGTTTTGTATAAAAAGCACGGCGGTAAAGATACGAATTTACAGTTTCGATTGGAAATTATCGATCGACTTATTGAAAGGCATGCAGCAGTAGAAGAAAGAAAAGGCCGTCCTGGATATTTACCAACTCCACTAAGACTAACAGAAAGACATTTTTTAGAGGTTATTCCACCTACAGAGAAAAAACTAAGACCCGCAAGACAGTGTTATGTGTGTTCATTGAAAAAAAATGACAACGGCAAAAGAATTAGAAAAGAGACAAGGTATTTTTGCCCAGACTGTGATGTTGGACTGTGCCTGTCGCCTTGCTTTAAGATATATCACACTAAATCAGATCTTTAAAAAAAAAGAAGGGTAAGTATGTTTTGTATCAAAACATAATAGTAAATGTAATTGAATTGTAATCGAAAATATATGTTAAGTAATTGTACTATTTTAATTGTAAATGTAACTTCCCTGTTTTGCATTAATGTAGGGAAAAAAACCAACTTACAGGGAAAATTGATTATTTTCATTAAAGAAAAAAAGTTGTAATAAATGCTTAAAATATTAGAAATGTTAATTTTAACAACATATCTTTACTTAAAAATGTAAAATGAACAAAAAAATGCAATAAAAAATATTACACATTTTTTGGCCGAATTCTGGAAAAAAATGAAACTGTCAAAGGGTTAAAGGCAACTGGCCTTTTTGAACTGCACTATACATTCCATTTATAAAAAAAATTAATGCACTCCATTTAAATATAAATAAAAATAATTATATAAAATAATCATATGAAAAAATTATAAGGCGGGCCTTCAAAGTTTAAATTATATGAGAAGGGTAGAAGAACAACTATGCAGAGGTAAAATAGGCCTGTGTTTCTGAACCAATACTCCCTGAACAAACTTTATATTTAACATACAATTATTGTTAATTATAACAATTATTAACCATAATTCCAAACAAATTTTAATACATTTTATCCTTAATTAAATTCTTATAAATTTTATTACGATTATTCAATTTCTTAAATCTTCGGTATTTCTATATTAATTTTAACAATATTTACTATTTTCCCATTCAATAATTATTTCATTTACATCATTAGAATTACATTGATTAATCTTAAATTATTCTTATGTAATTCTGATGATGTAAATGAATTGCATAGATTAATCCATTTCATATGATTCTTATGCAGTTCTGATGATGTAAAAGAAATAATTATTAAACGAGATATTATTAAATATTGTTAAAATTAATATAGAAGTACAAAAGATTTAAGAAATTGAATAATCATAATAAATTTTATATGAAAATTTAATTAAGTGTAAAATGTATTAAAAGTTGTTTGGAATTATGGTAAATGAATGTTATTATTATCAATAATTGTATGTTAAATATAAAGTATGTTGAGGGAGTACTGGTTCAGAAACACAAGCCTGCTTTACCTCTGCATAATTGTCCCTTCTACCCTCCTCATATAATATAAACTTTGAAGGGCTCCCACCTTATAATTTTTTTCTTATAATTATTTTTTGTTTATATATAAATGGAGTGCATTAATTTATTTTATATAAATGGAATGTATAGTGCAGTTCAAAAAGGTCAGTCACCTTTAAACGAGGAACGGAGACCTTTATAAGCAACTGCCAAAGCAACACTTAACCACTCAGTACATGACTCAGTTTTAAGTGGTTTTGACCAACAGATGGAAATGTTTGAATTAGAGAAAGCTGCGACTTCTGGTTTTGTGTAAAATAAAAAACTTAGAAAAGTAAATTCTGTGGCAAGGAGACACAAGCATCTGGAAGCAGAAAGGAAGACAGAAGACAGAGTTGTGACGCAGTTGACCTTTTTATACCGAATTCCATTTCAGATCACATGGCAGTTTAATGTAGAGGTGATGGGTTCAGACTTCATTAATTAGTGTGCAATGAAGATTAAATGACGTATCTTTTTCGTTTAGAAAATTTATTGCTTTTTTTTTTTTTTTTTTTTAGAATGAAGGTTAAAGGGCTATTAATTTATTATTTGAAAGCTAGATTTTATATTTTACATATATTTCACCCTGAACATAACACACTTGCTTTCGATGCTTTGGCCTACTATTTGGACAGCAGTCTGTCTACCCCTTCTATCTTACTGCAGATTTATCTAAAATGTAAACTTTTTGGAATAGGCACAATTAATGTGCCAACTTGATTGTGGCCACAACATGTTTACTGAAATAAAAGTTTAATTAAATATACTTTTACAACCAAATTTCTTGTTTCAGCATTCTACGACATCAAAATTGCTGCTGGTCATTACTTCCGAGTTTGATTTTATCACAACTGAGTGAAGTAGGACGTATACCTTCACTGAAGTGTTAATTAATTAATGCCTTCACATGTTAACCTTTAAGATATCTACGGCTCTGTCACTCTATGCACAAAGAGGAATCAGCAAACCATCTACACCTAATCATTCCCAAACAATTGTGTTACAATTTTTAAATGTTTAAAGTCAAAATCCATTCTTCAAAATTTAATCCAGCATATGTAAAAAGTGCAACGCAGTTCAATAGCAATATAAAAATGCGAAAAAAGAAATCAAACCATAGATTTGCTACGAGTGATTAAAAATGCAATCTATTTCTGCTTTATATTTAGTTTTCAAAAGTTGGAAGTAAAAAGAAAACATCCATCTTTATATATTAACCAAATGTTTCGAAATTCTTAGGCTGATGTTTGGATTACAACCGTTTTCAGTGTGCACCCTCGATCTTCACGTTAACATTTACTCTCCAGGTATTTTATCGAATAAATTAAATGACATTTTTTTAAGCGGTTCAAAAAATGAGAATTAGCAACGGATTTTAAAGTGATACATTCCTGAAATTGTGTTCATTTGCAAAAGAAAAAAATATTGTTTAAAAAATGACTCAAACTTTCTGATATGATTTTAAATTTACAAATTTTGAGAGTATATTTAATGTTATTTAGTAAATGATGGATGCATAAACCAAAAAACTTGCAGACATGGCTTAAATTTCACAAATAATTTTATTCCTTCGATAATGCACATTATCACTGCGGGTGCGCTATGAACCTCCCAATTTTATACAGATCACATCTTTTTAAAAAACAAAAATTAGAAAAGTAAACTCTGCTGATAGACAACACTAGCATCTGGAAGCAGAAGGGAAGACAGAAGAGAGAGAGAGAGTTGCAACACAGTTGACCTTTTTATACCCAATTCCATTTCAGATCACATGGCAGTTTATTGTAGAGGTGTTGGGTTCAGACTTCATCGATTAGTGTGCAAAACAGATTAAATTATGGATCTTTTTCATTTAGAAAATTTATTGCTCCGTTATTTTTAGAATGACGACAGCTAGATTTTATTTTTTACAAATATGCAAAATATAAAATCCAGCTTTAATATTATCAATATCCTTCTGTGACTCTTCTTCTGCCATATCCGTAAATTGAACAATAAAATCTCCTTGATCCAAAAGAAAGCAGTGCTTCACTGATATAAGCCTTCCTCGTAGATCAATATCACCCATTAAGAGATCTAATAATTATTTGCTTGCAAAATGATATGCAGGTTCAATGTATTCTACATACTTGCTGTCAAGAGAAGTGTACATAATAGCTTTTAGTATCAGAGCAATCAACTGTTTTACCACATTCATGAATAACATTCAGGTATTTTCCTATCCTTAAAATCATATCAGCTGCTTTTTCTAAGAATACAAGAATCCGATCTTTTTTAATAATGTATCGTTTTCCCAAAAAACATTACTGCATTCCACAGGTAATTCTTTTTTGGGAACTATTCCGTTTTGAGGGCCGTAAAAAAATTGCAGTGAAAATGTATGCGCAAAAGCGCCAAATCTAGCAAACGGGCCCATTTAACAGCGTGCCGAATCTACTGTACGTGCTGATTTCAGATTGCGTAAGTTTAGATAGTTCTGTATTTTTTAGAAGCCATTGAAATACTAATTTAATTTTTAAATCCTTTTTTGATATCCTATGGATTTAACAATTTGGGAATTGCCCATGACGAAAAGTTGGCAATAGAATTTTGGGTAAAGTGCAGAATCACCCATTGCTTGACACGTTTTTAAGAATTGCACATACTCAATATCCATGTGCACATCGACCTATTTTCACTTAAAAAAAAAATCCTAGAATTGCACAAAAATGGCACTGCGCACACCCTTGACTTTATCTATGTACACATCGACCTATTTTCACTTAAAAAGTAAAATCAAATTGTTCTTACCCTTGTAAAAAGCGGCAAACAAATAAGTGAGCGATTCTGCACTTTACCGATAATATTTTCAAAGAAAAGGCATCATTCATTATAGAAAATTACGTTTGAACAACCAACGAGATGAAATTATGCTTTAGCGATAAGTAGGTAGCGAAAAAGCGATGCAGGCATCCATTCAGTTATGTTTAGCAATTTTTATATAAATTATAATAATGATCTGAAATAGTTATGTACTCTTATGCTTCCATTCAGTCGCGTTTAGCCTTTTTCATATAAATTATAATAATAAAAAGTAGTATATGAATTAATCTTTCATCTAAATTAAAACATCATCTTAGATAGTTATTTATATATACTTCCTTTCTTGCCGCAATTATTAGGGTTGTCGCAATTATTTTTGGCAGCATTGGCATCAACAATAGTTTGGCGATTTTTTACGGCCCTCGAAACCGAATAGCACCCTTTTTTGATTAATTCGTTACTTTCAACTAAAACCTCAGAATAATAATCAGATATTATTCCTTTATAAATCCACTTTACTAAAATCTCAAAATAAGGAAATGCTGCTGTTAGAGTTAAAGCATGACATATTTCTTCAGCTTTGCCAGATTCAGCCAAGGATGCGAGATTTTCATGAAGAACAGAGAGCAGAAGCAATAGTCCAAAATCCAAACGTCCATTATCCGAAATGATCTAAAATCCAGACCTCAACATCATCCCCAATGTTTCTTCTCGTAAGCTTTACGCATGTACATTTGATCCCCCCTCTGTGCATAATAAAACATTTGGAGAGTCTCGATTCTTAATTTTCCTTCGACACTAAATAAAATATCTTGTTATTGAAGAAACAATCATTTTAGCATAAATTTGTACCATCAGTAATTTGGCTCCATTGCTGCGTATGTGTTTTGCCATACATCTCAAACCGAAACATTCCACATAGATACATTTCTGACCTGATGTCAACCTAGCGAATCATTATTTATTATACAGTACAAAGTCCGAAATCCGGACTCGTCAGGACTTCGGCGATTCCGGATTTTTCCAGATAATAGATCATCAGTTTAAATCTACTAAGATGGCATGTAGAA